CGTTTTCTTTTAACCGTTCGAGTACCGCGAGTCCTTGCGTTGGAAAATCCCGAGCGCCGCGATCGCGCTTCTTTCATTTTAGAAACGACGCTTTTCTATCTTCATGTGAAGATGTTCTAAAAAATAAGAAATAAGGAAAGTATGGTATAAATTAGAGGAAAATGGAAGAATACCTATAATAGAAGCTGCAATCTTTAAGAGTTTATATGGAAATTAGAGTAAGCGAGGAAAGACGGCGCCGACTTTTTTCATGTTTTTTTCGCAATTTTCGCGTTTCACATTTATCGAGTTTTGTACTTGTAAAAGTTCAACAGACGCGAAGATAACTAAATACGGAAGAGAGATAAGGAAAGTATAGTATAAATTAGCGGAAAATGGAAGAATACGTGTAATAGAAGCTGCTATCTATCTGAGAGTTTATATGGAAATTAGAAGCGCCGACTTTTTTCATGTTTTTTTCGCAATTCGACGAGCGCTTCCAACCGGCTGAGCACGATGACACTCGAATTCATTGTCAGAAAGAAACCGCCGTGGAATACAACGCCGTGCAATTACGCCCAGGAACCTGCAACGACGGAAATGGGAAACAGTTCGTTGTCCCTGGCCAGCTGTGGAACGGCGTTTCAAAATTACTTTGCACCACGACGGACGCGGCTCGTCGTTTGCGACGAGCTCGAACTCCGGCAGCCTCTTCAGGCCAGCTACGCGGCTTTCTATTTGATCGATAAATCGAGTTTCCCCGATGAACTGCCGCTGACTACGCTGCGGACGGAATTGAATTTCGATACGTGAAAACGGAAGCGGAGCTTTCGTTCGTTTAACTGCGATAAATAATGGGACTGGTAATTGGTGTCAACTGGTGACTTGCCAGCATATTTTTCATTAAAGATATTCATTACTTTCTGAGTAAATATTAACGAGATTTTTCGCAACTGACACAATTATCTTCTATAAGTTAAGAGATAGAACTATTTTACTTCGATGTTTTATGTGATACATTACACAAGGTTTAATATTGAATTGAAAATTTTATAAGTTTGCTGCGTCTATTGGAAGGGTTAATAACAGAAGCATAATGGAAAAACTTGTTGCATAATAGTCCTTCAATTATTGTATTACAGGGAACAGAAACTTTGAATCATTTTCGAATAATAATTTGATTACAGATTACGTTACTTCAGGTAACTTCGTTCAAACGTTTCATTAGTTTGAATCACTGCTTATTAAATATTTAGACAAACGTGGAATTCATTTGTTAATACAAAATGCATCGCGTTTGACGTACGAATTTACTAGAAAATTATTTTTACGAGACAACGTGTGTTAGTCGCAGGCAAAGTTGCAGTAGAAAACGTTTCGAAATGTTGCCGGCGAGTATTTGACTGATTAACAGGGTTGAGATGATAGTAAAACAGGAAAGTACGCGTGAATGTGTCGTATAGGTGGGAGCGATAAGGCAATAGAAGATTTTCGGTCACGGAACTCACGGCTGACGTGTTCTATGCGGGCCAACTGAAAGCGGCCAGCCATTTTGGGACGTGTGATCGGCCAATCCTTCGTCGCCGAGAGAAATTACGCACACGGAGAAAGGCGAGTGAATCGCGGAATTCTGGATGGAAAAAAGGTCAGATCCGTCGTGCGTCAGTTGTCGAACCTGATCCGTGTCGAGAGTTGTCCTAGCAACGCTCGTTATCTGATTCGAGGGAATTAATCGTTGACTCAAGCGGCGGAATCTTCGAAACTTCTTATTTGCGCTTGCGAAAATCACCGAAATTATGAAACTTTGTATAGAATATTAAGTTTTGTATAACGAATGAATATATGAAACATAATTGCTTTGTCTCTTAACCCTTTGCGGAGGAAGATTGTTGAAAGCATACAAAACCTTGCAAATCCTGCTAAATTACACTGAATGCTTAAATCATAGAGAACAAGGAAACTGCGTAGATTTCTTGCTGTTCGAACAGTCAAATCATTTGTTCACAACTGAGTATTCCAAACATGGAAGTTCGATCTCGGCAAAATGCCGACATTCGTGCAAAGCGTTAAATTATGTCTCCTCGTTAGTTTAAAGGAAATATCGTCCATATCTCGCCAGAAAATGTACATTTCTAGTGAAAAGCTTTCGAGTGCGAGGGGTCATCCTCGATGATAACGTCGAAAAAAGAAAAAGTACCGTATAGAAATCATTACATAAAGGAATCAGCGTCGTTGTCGGCGTAGACAGCGATAGTGCGAATGAAAGGGGTGTTTCAACGGCGTTGTTAAACGCGATGTTTCACTCGGGGATTGAACATCATTAACGATGAATTATTATACTTCTCCGGGAACGTTCCGCGAAGTATAAAGCTTCATACGCATTTCGAAAGTAGGCTGTAACTGAAAAAGAAAGCGTTCGCGAATACTTCGGCCGGATCATTTTCATTGTTTTGGTGTGTAGAATACGGGGAAACGTGCCGAATTAATTGTCGGAGTAATTAGCGGAGGAAATCTGCCGCGTGCACGTGTACGCGCGACTCTTCGTATCGTTACCGATAATCATCGGCCGTTTTTCGTGATGTCTTTTACAGAAATCGAACGGTTTTACGTCGCGCCGCGGGTCTTCGCTCGAATTCCTCGTTTCTTTGTGTATCGGCGTACGAACGTGGGCGTGGTGTACTGACATTTCTCTCTTTAGGATGAGGAAAGTAACTGGTTACAGTTTCACGGTCACGGACGCAACAAAAACTCACGCACCTACACGCCTGGCGTGTCCGCGCGTTACATGAACAGCGCGGAGCTAGTTTGCTTTGATTATTTCACCAGCGTTGATTCGATCCGAAGTTTTCAGAGTTCGTTTTGGGATTCGAGCGCGTGTCTGAAATCGAGTCATTAATTTCTGCTTGCTATCCGTTTTTGCGCAAACTACTTGTTTTTATCCGCCAATTATCTCTGGAGTATATCGACAGCTCGTTCGTGTAATTTGCAGGAATCATTGGAGGATCATGTTGCAACCGTTTATTCGCTGAATAGAGAATAGAGAGTGACGCAACAGAATGTACTGATTTGAAATCTCCCTTTAACTGGAGAAAAACATTCCATAATGTTCATCGATCAAATAAATTTTGATATCTTTATCAATTAAATGAAGTATTACTCGATAATGAAGTAAAATATTGGAATACACGCGTGGCTGAAAGAATATTTCGCGATCCTTGAGCCCGATAACAACAAAATTTGCTTTAAGTGTGAAAACGTAAGAGTCGGTCAGACGCTTTGACGGTAGAATTGAGAAATATTTGAAACCCGGGATTCACCGATGTGACCACAGAATGATTTGCGATTCTCCGAACACGCTGCGGGCACAATGACTCGCGCATTCGTTCGCGAAAGAAGGTTTGCCATCGATTCATCGGAGCGACTCGCTTGAAGCGCGCGCGACGGGTGCATATAATATCGGCGCCGCGACGGACTCGCTTTCACTGGCTGCGAAATAATGGCCGTGCACACTTGGAGACATATTCGCTGACTGACCGTGAAATTCCTACCCAGACCCGGAGTTTTCGTTTCACTTAATATACAGTTTCCATGCAATTAATCCGCGCACCGTGCTATTGTACAACGAAACCGCCGAAGTTCCTTTTCGAATCTCGCCCGAACGATTCCGGAGATAGTCCCATGAAAGTTTTGGTGCTTGACGTGCACGCTCTGGAAAATGGTAATTACGTGGTAAATCTGTGAGGCGACTGATCTCGAATTACCGAAATTAGAAACAGTATTCTTCCAGCCGTTGTAAAATTACGAGCGCGAATGAAACTCCCATAATTTAGTCTCATGAATGTTCAAATGTTAATATTTACATCGTAACTGTCTGTTGCCCGGCGTTGATTAGTCCGCTTCTACATAGTGTTCTATTTTTCAGCGTTGACACTGAGCGCACAGAAGCACGAAATTATATGTAGAAAGTTTCCCAATCCCTGACAAATCGTTTCTGTTCGGCTTCGATTATTGCTTCGAGCTATGGGCTACATCCAGCGGTTCAAGTGAAAACGGACTTTGATGGTCGGACGCGAGGGAACAGGTTTGAAATTTAGAGTAACGCCGGCGGTGACCTCAGGCGGCCGATTACATGATTAAATAATTGTCCCCGATTCGTTAACGGTTCATCCAACGGAATTTGTACGAACCGTGTACGCCGGAGGAATGAGCAAGACTACTGCTCGCGGATCTCGCAAGTGAGTCAGGTAAACAATTTGCTCGTTTCAGTTACCTGCGAACGTGCCTGGCCCCTGCTGCGAATATTACCTAATGTCCGTGCGAATAAAGCAATCGATTAGCAATTAAAATGCTTGTGGAATTGTGTGCAATTCGCGTGTAAATTGTTATTTAATTCCGTACGCTGAGAATGTACCGTATACACCGCTGTCATTAAGATGTCACCGAAGTAAACGTGCTTACCGTGTTATTTCCGGTTTGATCTCATTTCCACCGGGAAAATTCGAACGATTGACCTTTGCACTCGAAGCTTCGATATAAACATACTCACGTGTAAATAAATGATGGTAAAAGGAGAAGTGACCGATTTTATCGTCTTTTTTATTGGTTGATACAAATATTCTGACGTATTCAATGACGAAACTTTACAGTTTACAATGACATTAACACTGGAACTACCGAGCATTTAATGCAATTAATATGCAATTTCTATAAAAATTGTAACAGTAGAATATTTTCAGTTTCTTCAGACATTCATTATAGTACTCAAATGAAGCTATTTTCAAAATCATTTCGAATATTCAATGCTTCGAAGATATCAATAATTGCTAAACAAAAGAATCGAAACCAGTCATTTTTACGGTAGTTCTAGTGTTAAATGACTCCGCTCCGAAGGCTTCGAGTGCAAAGGGTGAATTGAACTGAATCCTGTTTCACGTCGTTAGCATCGACCTACGCGACTTCGCGACGTTGAAACAGAATTCTACAGGACAACGAACACGCGAGGACCATTAGAAACAACATACCGTAGAGGCTGATCCATCCGAGTATCCAAAAGCACAAAGTTAGTTTGCCAATCATCTCACGGTTGGTGGATCAGCCGGCAAGACGAGTGCCTCCCTTCAAAAATCCATAATCCGCGCGGCGGCAACTCGAGGATCGCTGAAGCACGTGTCGGTCGTTCCGTTTCGAAGTAGCTCGGAAGCACGCGAGGGATCAGCGTGCGTTCATCTTCCCGTCCGTTTCACTGGCATCGACGATACGGAACAATTGCGAAGCGGCGGAAACACTCGAGGCGCGTGCAAAAGCTGAGGATCGACGGCGGATCGACGCCGCGGCGTGACTCGCTCGATCCGATTCCTCGATTTCTCCTCGTCCTTCGACGCGAGCGACTCCTTGCTCCTCGACGATCCTCTATCGTTTCATCTTCAAGGTTCGCTACAAGGCGAATCCGCCTTTTCCTCGTCGCGGTTCCGACCGCTGTCGATTTCCACGAAGCGGCGAGCAACGAGAGAAAGGATCTCGGAAGACGAGGAACTCGAATTCGAGGAACGAACCTCGAAGCGGCGGTCTTCGGGCTGTTCGAGCCGCGTTTGACTTCTGCTTTCTCCTAAACGGTCGAGACACTCGGGCGATCGGCAATCGTCAGGCGCATCGCTTAGAGAAGAGTCCACGGGTCCGACGATCGGCTGGGCTTACGAAACTCGTGAGGTTCATCGGTCGCAATGATCCGGACACTTTCGCGGGAACGATCGCGTTACCGTCCTACGGACGCGCCGCGGGAACGGTGCCGTTCCATTCCGACGATCACGGTTTTATAAAATCGCCGATCACCAAGCCGCCGCCGATCCGGCTGTCGGAGCCAATGGGGCACGGGAGATCGCGGGGCTGTCCTTCGGTCGGAGATCAGCCGGCGGCGAACGGTCCGACGATCGTTTTCACGCGGTTCCCCGTGGATTCCGTGTTTTCATTGTCCGGGCGGATCGCTTTCGTGGCGATCTCGGAGAGCTCGGTTTTCACGGAGCGGCGCACTCCGGCAAAACGAGAGGCCTGGTGCGCCAGCAGAAACTAAGAGAGAGTTTGGCTCGAGCCGTCGCCGCGCTACACCTGCAGGTACACCTATACCGGAGCTGCTACCTCGTGGCCTACTATAACAGAACTGACTCCCACCATGCTCTCCGCGCGTCTCTTTACTCGCCATAACCGAACGGTGTTTACGCGGCGCGTACACCGGCGTCGATTATTCGCTCCGCCCGCGCCGCTCGGTCCCTTTCGAACGTGACCATTCGGATTTCGAGCTAATCGAACGGTAGAATGTGAAAGGGTTTTCGTAGATTTTAATATTAACACTTTGCCGCGCATTTATCGCATCGTTAGGTTGGCGTGGGCGAGTATGACGCAGGAAGGCAGCAGACAGTTTCAAAGTAAAAGAAGAAACATCTGCTTAAAAGATTTTAACGAAAGACGATCTGGTAAATTGGGAAGGGAGAACAGTGCAATTGTTTCTCTAAAAATAAAAAACGCGTACGTGACTGCGGCCGATAAAGTGTTAACTCTGAACGGACCGGACGTGTTTCGAGTTGACTTACCGCCGAAAGATACCGCAACATAGATAACGAGCGGGGAAAAATTCGCAGAAGCGACCTAGCACGATACGTGTTCATTGGAAATATTACAATGATAACAATGAGGAGAATAAAATGATTATTCCCACCATATACGCGGCATTCTACACAGTAAAGCTCCCATGCCGCTTATATGGCATTGCTTCGTTAAGGGTTTTTGGAGAACGCGTGACGTTTATTGTATCGTATGCTCGAATCTTCTACCGATTGTAGGATATCTTTAGGTGGTTGAATAAGGGACTACCTTTCTCTTTAAACAATATTCCCTTCATCATCTTTGTCAACAAGGAACTGCGCAACTCTTAAAGTTTCTATTGTTCGTCCACCGTGCAAATAAATATACGACGCGTGCGACGATTCGCGTTCACTTGTAATTAATTCTCGATGCGTATTGGCGCCTTACCAGCAGACCGCTGTGCAGGGGGTTTCAAAAAAGGTGACACGGTCTATAAGCAATTTAAACGACCGGAAGAAGGTAAACAAAAATGTGCACGTACAATTTCGAACTGTGAAGTTCCTCGCGGTAACGTTCCGTTTCGAAGTCCTCGCTTGTGAACTTCTCGCATTGTTTTCTCACGAACACTGCCAAGTATTGTGGAACATCCTGTACAATGGTTGCCCAACGCAGAGGCCGCAAAATTTTCCTAGGTTGTCGCAATAGGGGAGTTTCACCATCATCGAAAGCACCCGAACCATTACGGACGCGCGGCACATTACCAAATATTATATCACGATATCCACGCCGAAAATGGGCGGCAAGACGCCCCCCTTCTCGTTAGAAAGGAGTGTGATTCACTTTCGCGAAACAATCGGCGAACGAGATCGATCAACGCAATAGAGGAAGCATTCCTACCCCATCGGAACTTTTGCTTTTCTTGTTTGAGGAGTGTTATTGATGCTCTATGAACAAGAACGCGCGACGTTATTTAACAACCGAGAGTGACAGCCAATCGGCAGCTTGTTGTGAAAATAACACCTGCCTGATAATTAGAGCCGCGACACGCGTCATCGAAATTTCAATCGACAAAGTGAAACTTTGCAATAGTGTACGCAAACAGTAGCTTCGCGACTCTGATTTCTTCTGGCTGACATTTTCCATGGGGTACGAAGGTAAAGAGAAATATGGAGAATTCATTAGGTTTCGAGTTGGACCGATAAGTTTTGGTAATATTTTTATTAATTGAACTGAGTTGTGGTTCGTTGGATATTGGATAATTACGGAAAATTGGATGTGAATTTTCTTTCGTCGAACATATGGGAATGATAATTTTTTTATTGACATCATTCGATCCTATCTACCGGAATGGGCACGGTGAAAACGTGCGTTTATATCAATAACAATTGCCTCACAGGACATACACTTCGACATAAAGAAAATTATAATCATTTACTTTCACTTTTTCCATCGATAATCATGACGCGTGAGTGCTGCCCGTAATTGATATCTTTTACCTGGTCCCTCGGTATAGCGTAATTTTATTGACCTCGGATACGGTTGAGGGAATTGAAATTATTTCTCATACTACTGTGTACGAAACGAAATTTCAGTGAACAGAAACTTGAGAACAAATAATTTTTTAAACAGATTTTATAAACATCTACATATTTTAGAAATATAAATAAGACTGAGCATTGCAATAGAGTTTTATTACTCTTTTATCTTAGAACTCCATTTATAGAACATGTACTGGTCTGGATTAGGTCAAATGTCATCAGCTAGAACTGCTAGAGCTATGTATATTACTATGATATAAAAATAAAATTATTTGATTTGTCTTATAGCTTCTCACGCTTGCATAAATACAGCTCTGTTATATAGAATACATAGTATGGAACAAAGGTTCTACGAATAGAGCTCTAATTATCGAAAGGGAATATGAAGATTGAATGAATGATTTGATAGATAAGTTGCAAATATTCTCAGTGTTCATACAATATCAAAAACATAACACAACAATGATCTTTTAATAACAATGTAAAATGAATGGCTCCTGTTTATAAATTAAATACAACTATGAGATCCTGACAGACATTGCTATATATTTTTTCTATAATACTTTGTTTCGTCAAAGTCAATATCTTCGTATTCTTCAATTTCCACTTTATACTTGGGCTTACGCCTTTGTAACCTCATTTCACGTTCTTCTGCACTAAGTTCTTCAAAATGAATAGGAAGCGTAATTATTTCCCTTGGTGAGTCCTGGTCTATAATAATGGAACTACCATTTGGAAAAACAAGATTGGTAGGGTACGTGTTCTCATATATTTTTCTATGCTTCTTCGTTATCCCCGCCGTCCAACAATTAAAACTTCTGCGAATGGTTAATGCAGTCAGTGTAGTTCGTAAAAGCGAAGATACGTTCATTCTGAAATATGAATAAATAATCGTAAAGATTGAGACAAAGAAAATTCCTTAATTCAATAAGAATCGAAAATTATTTTAAATTCAAGAATCATTTTAAATGTTAATGGAAATATCATAGAGAAAAACATTCGAATATGTACCATGACAGGTTATGTTTGAAATATAAACTACTGAATATTAGAAATGTAATTCAAACATTAATGCTTATTACTTATTGACATTTTTGTTATTCAGAATGAATTACTTAACGGTAACGTTTAACTGTCTTTTGCGATACCGTACATAATTAAATTTTAAACAAGCAGAACTTACCTCTCTTTTAAATAACACGAATAACCTTACACAATAACACGTTCTGCGCAAGCTTCGAGAAGTCATGTGACAAACCGCTTATCGAACTTAATCGTATTTCGATAGTTTCGATAGTTTCGATAGTTTCGATACTCGTTCAAATTACGAAAGTTCTGGAGAAGTTGGTAGTTGGTGCGTGTTGCGAATAATCGTCCGCATAAATTACATAGTTTTTTAGTGAAAAAGAAACAAAGTACTTGATTTTTTTGTTTTACTATTTGGCCGCCGCTAAAGTAGTTCGCAAGACGTTGAAATTTCCACTGGGGAATGCATCAGGTCATTCGGTAAGAACAAATTTTCATCTATTATATCCGGATCGAGCATAACGGCATCGATGACGGCGTATATGCGTTCGTGTATTTGAATGATAGATAGTTCGCTTGTTTATTAGAATAAATATAAATAAGTCAGTCAGGGGAAACAATAGACAAACCGCCAATTGCACTGTTCGATGCTTCTTCTTGCGATCCTTCGTAACTGCTACCAGGTATTTCAACATATTCTTTACGGTCCCTGTAGAAAGGAATTTTCGATAATCTGTATGTAGAGAATACCTTTTTTAACTAAAATGGCGACGGATGGAATATGATTTTCTAAAAGAAATATTTTTCTACCATAAAACCGTACTGTCCGTTGATGGGAACAAAGTCAAAGACGGGAGATATCCGGATGAAGGTTTAAAATTTTAAATAATAAAATAAAGTAAGTTCGTCTCACACACGAGTAAAATTTGGACAGCACGGCTATAAGACACAAAATCACGTGCGATGCGTTTTTATTTATAATGAGTCAGTTTAATTAGTGTTGTTAGTAAAAATTAATAAATATGCACGTTCACCCACATACACACTAATACATACACACTCAGTTATGCATGCAATACTTGGCTTATACTAACTTATCGTACTAAATTTGTACAAACACAAATATTGTTACATCACTAAGGTACTAACATCTCAGTGGAATGTTTCTTATCTCATAACATACACATCAATTTTTATTAAACAGCCAGTAACCTTTCTCTTATCATGCAAGATAAGTCCATTATAAATGACTGAAAATTTTATTTGCTACATAGAATTTTATTAAGAGTTCTTATGCGACGTCTGAAAGTTTATTGTGAAAACTGGATACATCAATTTCAATAGAGACATTCTTTTTTTTTTATCTGTTTTAATAATTCTGAATCATTATGCAATTAACAGTTTATCCCATAGTATACAGATAGCTTTCGTACACACTGCATGCAGCATCAATGGCACTCTTTACGCATCAACTTAAATAACGTACTACAGCTATTCTTGTGACAACCATGGTATTGTGATGTAATGAAATTATAAGATGCTTTGATAGGTCAAAATGCACAAAACCACAGACAATTTTTATTACAACAATAACAATAATATAAATATATAAATGTAGGACCTCGAATAATTGCAAAATATTCAAAATTCTTTTATGTTTATCATTATCCGTAACAAAGAAAAACCAGAAATAAAACGTTTACACTGGTGAACTAGAAAATAATACCACCACCAGGTGCATAATGTAATATACTGAAAAAATATGCTTCTATTCTTCAACATATTTTGCTCTTAACATCACAGACACTAAATACATGTCTTATTTACAAGTACTTAAAATTTGGCACTATAATATATTTACAATTTCTTTTTATCAGTAACAAAACTATGGAAACTATCCATCCAATTAACATATTGCTATAAGTATAAACATAGCATATTTCTTTTTAAATCAATGAACATAATCATGTTCAGTTCTTACATGTATATACACCTATTAATCTACGTTGTCTCTCTTTTCTTGTACTTATTCCTTAGTAACAATCAACAGAGATTCATCTAGACACTCAAAAAAATAGAAAATAATCTCAATATTAAGATGTAAAAAGGAATGTAAACTTTAAGCTACAATATAATAATAGATATCCACTAAAATGCTTTAAATACTGAATACTGAATTTTCATTCATACTGAAACGAAAGTTTACAAAATTTCAACAACAGATAGTTTTCTTTAATGTCCCGTTTTCGCTGTTATATATATTTTCTTGTTTGTGAAGTGTTTCATCACTTGTTCCATTCCTGGTATCTAGTCTGCAAGAATTTATGATTTTGCAGGGTATGTGCAATATGAAATGTAAAAAGGGGAGGTGAGGTGATTATGATGCAAACTTAATGAAGAATATTTATACTCTATCTTAGTTAAATATAAAAGCTCAAAACATTTCTTCATCTTGTATATCAATATATATCTACAATAACAAAATCATGCATGCATGCATGCATATATTATAACAGAACTGGTTGGTTTACGTAAAAAAGAAGGAAGTTATAAAAATTTGAATATAATTTTTTCTATTGTTATAAAGAAATTAGTAAGAAATCTTTTATTTGGACATGTTACTACCGAAGCAAATAGTAGCAAGTTAAAATACGTATAAGTAAAAATAAGTATAAAAAGAGAACATTGCACTGGTTCATGCAACATGCATTTGTTAAATAATGTAATATCAAAATTTGTAAAAAATTCCAATAGTTCATTACAATTCTACAGAAACATTACACTTGTTAATGCATGCAATGTTAGTTTAAAAAATGATGGGTGACAAATAGAGGGTTTAAATATATATATACGTACCTATATAATATGTAATGTTGGATAATGAAAAATATATCAAATGCAACCGAAAAGAATCCTAGTCCAAACTTCGTTGGGTCTCCAAAAATACTTTCCCAATCATCTAACGAAAAAATTGTGCATTAATATTTTGAAATTAATTCACGTATCTTTTTTCTATTAATTACAGATTCGTTCTTTATACTTTACCATAATTGTATGCATTTAGTATCATCTGCAACATTGATAGAATACCGCCAGTAAAGTCTAAAAATATATTGCCAATACTCCAGCCAACGGTGGACTTTCGTTTGTAGTTGTAAAATGCTTGTGGAACGTATTTGATTAACGTTATGCATAATTTAACGTAACTACAATAATACAGGAAGTCTAGCCACGTCAATACACTACAACCAGCAAGTATTACAGAAATTAATATAAATAAGGCGAATACACCGTGAATAACACGTGCGGTCGTAGATACTCTTTGAGTGCCCCTCTAAAAAAATACACAGTTTTGTTAGTATTTGTTCTGTTCTATTAAAATAATTCAATAATAAGGTATATTCTGCTGAATTTATTTTTGATTATTTACCTCAAAAATGAAGCACTGAATGATAGTTATCACAGTGGCAAATGTTGCATGCAAGGCAAAAAATATATCATTCACTTGTACAGGATTCAAACCTCTTGGGTATCGTCTAAAATATTCAAGCTGAAAAAATGCAGTTGTGCAGTTATATATTATATATGAGTTTATAACGATTTTGAGCAAATGATTTACATACCTCTACTTCTGGTATCCAATATAGGCCACAATTAAATAGAGCATACATAACAAAACCAACGATGTTCAACGATAAATAATCGAAATTTAAACCTATTACGCTTTTGCGTTTGTAATTGATGTATATTTGGGGATAGAAACTGACACTCCATGCTAGAAAGTAGATCCATCCCACTACGTTACTTATATGGTAAAGAGTCTCTGATTTTTCAATAGTAACTCTGACAAATGCTTGTGAAAAACTGTAACAATGTCAGAAAAAGAAAAAAACATTAAGATTTGACACTTGCATGCTATAACGTATCTTTTTATTTCAATTCTTACTTTAAATCAACTTTATTTAATTGGTCTTGAGGAATCAGTATTACTTTAAAAAGTGTCATTATCGTTTAATTGCAATTACTTTGATAAAATTTCAATTATTTTTATACTTCACACTGTATAAATGCACACCATAGAACTTTAGAAACAACTGTAAAAAATCACTTTTTGTTGGAAATTTACACATTAAATTAATTATTATAAATACATTCGTCCTTAGCAATTAATGTAAGACATTCTAGCCAGAGCAGGAAGTAGTCCGCTCAAAATCTGAGCACAGACTGACTGAAGTTTAAGTTTAAGATCCGATGACAACTATAGGTCAGGAGGCTATCTCTGCAAATAACTGCCACTGGTTGCTAGTGAATGTGCTGTTGATTAAAATCTTTTGGAACTCAGTCATAAAAGTAAATATTGATGTTTTCCTCAATCATTACTTAATCGTAATTGATATAAAAAAGAGTGGGGAACAAGATTAATTCTGTTAATGTTTTTTATTTGTATCTCTGTTTACTTTACCCCCTGTGAATCAATATATTATAATCTTTACTTGAGACTCCATCAAAGCTATTTACTTAGGTCTTCCAATTTTTATAGTAAATCAGATTCCTCTTCTTACTTTACTATATCTACTTACTCTGTGACATTCATAGGTGTAACATTAGCACTAACAATAGAATGTCCTGCATTATGGCCCAACACATTTATTGTCCAATTCTTACTGGCTCCATTGACCAAAAAGTTATCAGGAGAAACAGAGAGCAAATCTGAATGTTGTACATCTAGTGTTACTGATACACTATTAACCACAGGTTCTCTGCGAAATAAAATATAACTATTATAAAACCTGCATATATTTAAACATTTATTCGTGTTGTTTAATGAATAGAGTCTATTTAACAATATTATTATACACTCACGTTAGGTACAATATAAATGATGCATTATTATTCACATGAACTTTCAAGTCTTGGTTCGACACTCTGAAATCTGCCCATGTTTGTCCTACAACTGAAAGATTAATTGTTATTTATTATAATGTTTTGTACTTTTCAGAGGATTCTCCGCGAATCAATTAAAATCCAACAACTCACCTAAAAGGGCAAAAATCCCAATGTGCAATAAGGAGGCCATGGTTGCTCACTTCTGGAACAAAGAGGAAACAAACTTAGTCTCAAGGTATTCTACTTTCCACATTCTACTCGATAACTCCATGTTCAGTTTACAACGCAGGTCATTACGCTTAGCCAGACTATTGCATAAAGAGCTACCAGATATCTCAGCACTCCAACGTACAGGCTATCTGTGAGGAAAGTCAGTCTTGAAATCCAAATAATCGCGAAACGAGCGTACACGTCTGCCCAGGAGGAAATTCTTTTAGCTTGTGAAGTCTTTGACCGCTTGACACGCGGAAAAAACAAGGGAAGACGTACAAAGTGTCGGGCACTTTGCCGGATGCATGCCATTGATACTGGCGGAGCACCTATTCGTCTGGGAACTGTCATTCGCTGGAGATCGATAACGGAATCATAGATAGGAGAATGTTCATCGCCTGAACACCGGCCGGTGCTCGTCCGGCCGGAGTATCGAGCCGGGTTACGAGAACAAAAAGCGACTCGCGTGGAAAGACACAGGGAGTATCAGTCGAACTTAACCTCGGAAGCACGACGACCTCGATGAAACATGCCTCGGGGCGTTAAAGGCGATAAGCACACGCGTTCTTAGAACCTCCAGCATTTTGCGCGACGCCTCGCCGGGCTTATCGCCTCGCTGCGTGGCCCGGCATCCTCCACTAATATCTGCTTCGCAACGAGCAAAGCGAAAAATCGATTGAGCCCACGGGCGGACGTAAATAAAAGTCAACTGGAACCACGCGGTCTCTGTTTATGCGACTGTTACTGGAACTGGCGGCGTGAAGGATGCATCTTGGATCAGGGACGTAACCGCGGACCCTCGCACCAGGCTTTCTATCAGTTTTTGCATCCAAACTGCAACCAGTTCATAGAGAGAACTTAGGTGGTTCCACGCTTTTGGTTCATTATATTTTTGTATGGATTCGTACTTCAGCTGTCTCGTTGTCCAGTGATTATTAATTTCTATTACTTGGCTGGTAAGAGGACAAATTACCTAGGATTGAACTTAGCTGGGTAACGAACGGATGATAGACTACCTGTTCGTCTCTTCATGAAATAAACATGAGGATTTCAAGTTCTCGAATTTAGCGTGAATAGAATTTGTTCTTAGACGTGGCTCTGCGCCGTGCTTGATCGAATGGAATGATACACTCCGGGTTGAATTGTGCTTAAGCCGGAGCAACCCCAGCGAAAGGCATTTATTTAGTAACCGTGCCCCTGCACATGGAAACCGTATAATGTCCAAGTCATTTACAAGATTTTATAGCGCACACGGTTATTAAAGTTTCAAGTTTCGCGTCGTGTCGCGGCACCTTGGACAATGCTGGAGGCTAGAGAACAACTTTCGGCTAGCTCATTTTCGATTCCAGCTTAATTAAGGAGTGATAAGGTGCCTGAAACCGGTTCTGTTTAAGCTGGCTGCTTTCGAATTCATTCGCGGCAATTTGTCGGCCGTGTCCTCCGAGAGTTACTGGAATCCTACTCCGACGTGAATCGCTCGCGAAATTATTTCAGTGAAAGGGTGAAAAAGATTTCGGAGAGCCGTATCGAGAGATTTGCATGGAAATTGCGGGCGCCATTAACGGGCCCCATAACGCGGCGCTTATTCGCCTAAAGCGCAATGTATCACCGTTTTCGCTCCCATTATATTTCTTCTCCGCCTATTAATTTTCGTAATGCTCCTGGTGAACTCGCGGCGTCCGCTTTTTCAGGCGAATCGTATTACTTATCAGGGACATCGGGCCGGTCCCTCTTCGAAAGTGTCTTTTCGGTGGCCTGGTTGCTGCTAGACTCTCTTTCCCTTCGAGCCCACGTTGCCCCTATCGTTTAATTGTCTCGACGATTCGCTCTGTATCGGAGGCTGACGAAACCGGGGATTTTCCTCCAAATTTTCCGTGCTATTATCTACCGATTACTCATTGCCTAGCTGCGCCGACCCATGCCGCGGGAACGTGCCCATTCAGATCGACTTTCCTCCTCGCAGTTCCTGTTTCGAAACGCACGAACGATCGTAGGAACCGCGCACAGTCCAAGTTTTTTTCTCTCGACCACCATTCCAACAACGAAACGCGACCACGTGTGGTACACGAGCAAAAACCACAATAGCAACAGCTGTCATAACTTACCGAGGACAGTGACGTTCCTTTTGAAACGCACGCGTTAACCAGAACGACACGAAGTGTCACTAATCATTCTCGTTATTCCAGTGTAGTCAAGCTAACGACAAAGAAATGTGTACTCGGTTGAAGTAAACGTTGAATATTCCGCGCCCGGAACCTCGGATCCGCAGAAACGCTCGAAGCTCATCGGCAACGTCCGCGAGGAAATAATTCCCGGTGAAATCTTGAATTTAAGGTCGTCGTAAAAGTAATCGTCGGTGATTTATCATGCAACATTTGGTTGCCTGGCTACCCGGTGTTTCAGAGATCGTTTCTCGAAGCGCCGCGCCGTCCTCCGTATAATTATTACGAATAACTCGCGCGGATCGATTACGGGTCCCCCCGTTTCGATTACCCGCCGGAGAAAAGTGGCGATCGTTGTTAACGAAATTGCGGCGGGTAGAGAGCACGGCCGTGTTATCGAGGCGAAACCGAGCCACCGAAGGGACTTAAATTTCCATGATAATGTTATGTTAATACGCAAAGTCGCATTCGGCGTGTAGCTCGCGAGTTCTCGTCGCGGTGCCTCGCGACGGTTCAGCCGAACCAGCCGGGGAGGCGGCAGCAGGCGCGTACGCGCTCCGCCGCTATATACATTTCGAGATAGAATAAATCGAAAGAGAGATCGACGTTCGAGTGCACTCCACGTCCCAAAGGGGCCTTCGCGAAGCTTACACGGAAACAGCTCTGAAAGTCGATCGGCAGTCTGCTGCCGCTTTTGTTGACGTACACAGGCTTCCCCGCCGCCAATATTTTCCTTTGCGTCATATCCCGGGTCCGAGTCGGACCGACCTAATCCTCGAAGATAGCTACCCTCCCCCGCCTCCGCTCCGCCGAGGCCGTCCGGGCTCTTTCTCTCCTTTCTATCATTTTCAATTCGCCCACGATATGGATAAACAAGATCGTTCCTGGCCGAACGATCGCCAATATACCTTGAAATTATTCGGCCGAATCATCTCTCTTCCAGGGAGCTTTTCTTCGGATCCAGGAATTTAGGAACCTTGACGACGCGGACCGTCGCACAGACCGTCCGGCGATATCCACGATCCTTCGAAACGTTCCGCTCGAACCTTCTGTCAGGGATCATTTGAACACCGGCTTTATCGGACCGGTCAGCTCGATGTCTGTTCAATCTTACGAACAGTGTTTAGTAATTGACTGTCTTCCAACCCCCGATTTGCTAGATTTAAACGAACGAGCAGCAATTTTTGTAGGAACGGTAGACTAAATTGTAGGGTAGACCGAGGCGGATCGGGTCTGTTCGGATTTAACAGGGAAAAACTGATAGTTAAAATGAACATTTTTTCGTAGATTTCTTATTAATAGACATTCAGCTTCAATATCAGTGAAAAAAATGGAGTAAAAAACTGAGAAACCTTCGTGTTATAAGAAACCGGGGTGAATCGGCTATTTCTCACTTTTCAGTTTTTTGCTTATAACACAAGGTTTTTTAGATTAATTAATTTTTCTACTGATATCGAAGCTGGAGAGATAAGTAGGGTGTATATACTAGACCCTGCCAAGTAATTTCGGGTTCACGAAAAAGGGCGAACGCTAAAGTGGCCCGTGTTGCGCCCCATCTTTCGGCAACGGGAACTATTCGAAACGGGCAGGATTTATAGTATCGCGAGCTGGTCGTTTAGGGATCGTTTACGGAATTGTCGGGATCGATTTGAAAATTCAACGGCTTTCAGCGGGTCGACGCCGATGGAGTCTCGGTAATCCGAGGGAGCGGGACACGCTCGAATTAGCGGGGACACGGATTAATCGGGACGAGAACGATCTTATCGAGACAGTTTTTCATTGACGGGCCGCCGCGCCGTTTCATCGGTCGCTGAATAAACAGGAGTCTGCGGATGGCTCGCGTGATGCCCCCAGTAGCGCGATAGTGCATCAATGTGACTAATTTTTATGGACGTTCGCTCCTCGCCAACGCAAACATCGGTTTCGTTCGGATTGCGACCTCTGATACGGTGAATCTCCGTTTCTGATTAATCCTCGGTGGACCAGCGATCATTTCCAACTGGTCCATTCTTCTATTGTCTATCTCTTGTTGATAGATCCTCAATTGTATTTCTCCGACATGCGTCGACCCTTGTTAAACCTAACGAAAATAACTGACAACCGAATGCCTTGGACGTTCAAATAATTCCTTCGAATCGTAGTTGAAACGTAAGCCTATTTAGAATAGACAGAATTAATCTTTTTGCTCCTCAAGGACGTTGATTGAACTTGTTTCCAACTTTATACCGTTCAACCTCAGCTTCCGGAATGCCGTGTCATTCATGTGTCACCGACAAAGCGTTAACGTGACCGATCGTGTAGCGATATCCTCGGCTGATCCTTACAAGCTGACATTTTCCATTTTGCAACGCGCTGTCTGCGTCCTCCTCGTACCTATCGGCGACAACACTAGTCGTGCGCTCGTTGATAAACTTCGTGCACTTTAGTGGGTCAAGTGTTGGTGAAGTTCCATCGAGATTGCGGAAACCGCTGGTCGTATTGAAAAGAAACGGAGAGGAGATAACGCGCGAATGGTATCGGCGTGATGTACGCGCGAGAGAGAGACAATGGGAGGTCGTGGCAATTATCAGCCGGCCGAAAGGTTTCTAATTTATTGCCGCGAAACGATACGGAGGCGCTCTGCGGAATGTTTACGCCTGAAAATATTACTTATTCGCGGAGTGTCTCCGCTTATTTGTATAAACAATCGATTTATTTGCATCGATAAACGGCGGGGATAGCGGTATCTACGAGAGAACCGAAAGCGAGAAGCTGAAGTCGGTTGAGAAAGGACGCGACATTTCGTTGATCAACCGCTGGGAGCCTTGACCAATCTTCTCGCTCTTCGATTATTTAGATATATTAGTTGTCGAAGATACAGCTGTCGATGATTCGTAGCGCCAATCGCTTCGTTGAAGACAGATACTCGCGGGAATAGCGTTCACAGACATTTATTGTACAGATTATTCTACTGTTCCTAGAGAAACTGATGGTTGCACGTTCTGATCTTAGAAATTAGAAGTTTAAAAATACACGATTACGTGTACGCTTGTGTAATTGCATCGAATCGACGTAAACATTTACCGGATAATGTTTATAAAATTCGATACCGATACGTGGGTCAACCACGTCGTTTATTGTACCTCGTCTAAGAGCTGCAAGTGTCTCGGGGACAATTGTTTTGCCCTACTGCTCCCGAAACGTTCGGGAATTCTTTTAAATTTCCAATACGACTCCGCGAGCTTATCTGCCAGCTGTAAAGCACGGTAAAACCGTTCGCAAATAGAGAGATCGCGCAGCAGATATGCGTCGCGGACTGAAAACAGCCTTTGCGAAAGATTATCGTCGGGAACCGCTGCAACTCGGCAACAAGGTCAGTTATAATGAAGGCCTGCGCGAACTTCGAATTGTTTCGAATTCATTCAAGCTCTGTGTCGCGAGATTAAGTACCCAGGAGCCTGATATCATCGGCTGTTACGAGAAAAATGAGGACTTCCGATTCACAGCGGAATTACCGCAGATTACAGCGTATTATTTCTTGTCCCTAATAACAACATCGAATTTCTGTTACGTAATGGAAACGCAGCAGATATCCCGGCTGTATTCGGGTTAATCCGTCGAGAGGATTCTTTTACGGGAAATTTCTGAAATATTCAAACCCTTCACCGGAGGAAGCTGAATTACACGCTGAACTCATAACATTACAGGAGAGAACAATGTAAATACTCGTATCTTATTACTCGAGTAACTAAAATTACTCGTTCCCAACTTTCTATTTGAAATATCCGGGCGAAAGAGAATACTTTATTTGTACGAAGAATATATTCAGTACACACCGATGCATTCATCTTATTCGCACGCTTTCTAGAATTCTTCCGTCAACATGCGTAAACTTCACCTAAACCTCGAATATTCTAGATTCCTTTAACAAGACATCGTTAACATATCAAGATCAATATTACAGAGAATCAATTTAGTCCAGAATATTCCAATTCCTCAAACATTTATTCAAAGCACACGCGTTCGTCGTTCATCTACACATCCATTCTCGCGATACGATAGTCCGGTGCCAGAGCGACGACACTCGTCCTCAAAGGGTTAACAGAGCTTCTTGAACAGTATCCTCGAGGGAAGTTTGGCGGACAATCGGCCGGTTCGATGAATGAAAACTTTATCCGTTGAAATTGAACGAATCGAGCAGAGAGGTTCGGGTCGCGTAAAAGACTGCGAACCGGCGCGGAACGGTTTGTCAAAGTCGGCGGATCTCTTTTTCCCCGGACGAGGCATCGGACATTTTTCATGCAGCGTGCACCGGCGCGTTATCTTCCGGCCAGTTGCATTATCCCTTTCATCCAGGAAACAATTTCCCCGAACAGTTTCGCGTGAGCAGTATTAAAGGCCAGTCCGCCGGGTAATAACGGTTAGCATAAATTAAAGATTAACTTTGTTGGCTGGATCGGGCTAGGTAATGCCCGTCCCATGCTAATTTCTTATCGCGGCCAATTACTTAATCGCGGCCCAGTCGAATGCACATTCGGCCGCGTCCACCGAGTGATACGGTCGCGAAGGAACGCCCGTGGAAATCGGCTCTGTACCGTCGCGAATTTCTGTTTCCCCATTTTCTGGGAAAGAGCACCGCGGCGAGGAAATTTGAAAAAATTCTTGCGCGGCGAGAGACCGCACAGGCCGCCGTAGGATAAAAGAGTAACGAAAATTGAAGGCTAGCAATGTGTCGCTAAATACAGTAGTATTTGATATGAAAAATGATTTTCGTTTAAACTACAAATGTGCAGATCAATTCCGTTTCTCTATTTATATATAGAATCGAAACGCAAGATATTCATTGTCATTGAAAAGACTTTGTAATATTCCCGTAAACAAAAATAAAATCACCGTATCTTTAGTTCTATTTACAACGTTTGTCTGAAGCATTTTTTTATCACTTACACTTCTGAAGTTATCGAGTTTTGTCCAGAAAACGGCTATTTGGCCGGACTGCGAGTCGTGCCGTTTACCGCAATGGCGACCGACATTACGCCGCTACGGGTCCAAATTGAAAATCGAGTAACCTCTGCGGTCATTCTGACCGCGCAGTTAATTCTAAGACTGGGAAACGTTGGAAACGAACTATCCGTTGTTGCTGACGACTTTGAATATTCGAAGGGTTTCGATAGAATTCAAGATGAAGTTAGGGCATGGAAATTTGAAAATCTTATGGATCGGATGTTGGCGAAACGTGTGACGAATAATTATTTTGATTCGACCAGTCGATGGAATCGTGTTTCGAAGAATAATTGAGACAAATCGTACAGTTTCGAAGATGATTTAGCGGCGAGTGATGAAGCGTCGCGCGTTACACAGCGCTATGGGATTGCAGCTCGCCAGTGGTCCGCTCGAATCCGCACGATTGATCGGACCGCCTGACAAGGCATTATTATTCTATCGACAGAATTATTAGCGCAATTAGCTGACGGCTAAACGGTTTTAAATACCCGGACAGTGTCGTTGTACTGCTTCGCAGATCGGATGATCGATGGAGCTCGGAAAGTACGCTTTCATTGTTGTTATCCGATGTAGAACGTTCCTTCTGCCCATGTTGATTCTATCTCGTCGTGTTTTACCAATTATTTCAGACGATGTTTCTCAAACTGCTTGTTTAAAACGCGTCGGTATTTTCGTTGCATCTACAGAAACGATTTCTCGTGAAATGAGAACGGATAAATCATTTTTCATAGTAGTACAGATATTACACTCGATAAGTGCTTTGTAAATAAATCCTATACGCAGATAAGCTTCTTAGTTTCAATGATAAACTGTTCATAAGGGTCTCGGGATTTTTCCCTCTTATTCCTGAAGCGTTTAACACTTTTATCGGCGCGGCGCGCGTTCCAACAGTTTTTCATTCCGCGTTCTTTAGCCCGCGTCCATTCATCGATATAATTTTTCATTGGGAGAGCGCTATCGAGCGTCACACTTCTCTTGCCAATAATATCGCGCCAGCCATCGTTTCCGTGTTTTTCACGTTAGATCCCCGTGTCATCAGATATATTCCACGGCTTTTCAGCTTCGCCTCTTCTTTGTGCCGTTCGACCGATCTCCAATGTAAATTCACGAGCTTCGTTGCGCCGGTCTCGCTTATTTCGCGAACTCTCGATCCTTATGGAATATTAATGCAACGCTGCGTGCTCGCCGACTACGGGGACACGTTTCCTTGGACGGCACGATAACGTCCCGCGGAACCGTTACGCGCAATCGCGAAGCAATAACGTTTGTCAGATGAACGATTTCATTCCATTACTTTATTCTGCTCGCCGGATTGAAATTCCAACCGTTTCAACGATAGAATTAACTACGAACGCCCCTTTCAGCGAGGACGACAAAGCTGACACGTTCTAGAAAAAAAATTCGCTCGTTAATGCTGCGACAAACGCCACGCGAATCCTCAGGAGAAACAGATAATTGCGAACTGATCGTTTGGATCGGCTCGACGGTTCTAGTCTTCGATAGCGTAACTGTCTTCGCTTTTTCAAACGTTGAACTGTCTAAAAGATAGAATTTAAAATATAAACAATGTTCTTAATAAAAAGAAACTAAGAAATCAAGGTTCCTCATAATAATCGTGCTACTATGCTTATATCTCATACATCCAACAGAGTTCGGTTCGTTCGATAAGTCATCAAGGCAATTATTCTTCAAGTTTATGCAAATAGCGGTGTCACCTGAATTCGGAGCAGTGACGGTCCAAGTATTAAATGTGAATTTGCGAAAAAGACTACTTAACTACAAGGAATAATACAATTAGTCCACGGTTTCTTGGACCATGGTGAGATGTCTGTATTTAATATTTCGAAAATGGCGATCGCGCGATCGGAGGCCAGCATCCGTAATGTTCGTCGATCGGTTCAGTTCGGTTCGCCACGTCGCCCCGTGTCCATGGGAAACTTCTTTTCCTCGAAGTGTTTCCACCGTTCCGGCCGATTTCCAATGTAAATTTACAAGCTCGTGGCGGCAGTTTGGCTCGGTCCGCGGATCCTGTCCCTATCGAATATTAATGCGCGTTTGACCCGCTCCTGGAAACCGATTTTACGGGACCGCCTCGTCGCGCCGGCGGAAACAAAACAAGAAAGAACGAAACCGAGGAACGGTGACCCGCGTCGACCCAGTTTTAACCCTGCGACTGATCCGATTGATGATACACGATACGAAATCCGTAATGGATGTTATCGAGCCACGAATTCATTAACGGAGAGCTCAGATTATTTTATTTCGCGCGTAACTGTTTACTTTTTATTCGCTTTTAGGGGAATATTGGAAGATATTTATTTCGTTCAATATTTTCAGTTTTTCTGTTTCGCAATTATTGATATCTTCGAAGCATTGAATATTCGAAATGAATTTGAAAATAGTTTCACTTGAATACTAGAATGAATGTCTGAAGAAACCGAAAATAATCTATTACTACAATATTCATAGCGATTACATTTCAATCGTATCAAATGCTCGGTAATTCTAGTGTTAAATGTCAATGTTATCATGATATACTGTTTAATAAGTGTTAAATAATTTCTTTATTAACCATTAGAGTTAACGAACCATCTTCGTCTCGCGAACGTCGTGGATATTAATGAAATCAGATACTTTCACGGTACCGTGTCTTTCATTTTCGTTAAGGCGGGAGAACTGTAACGCGCAGTATCTGCTCGGAAAAGTTCGTTCCGATAGGTTCCCTGTTTTCCTCGCTGGCGAAATTGCGGATTGCAACCCCGTTTCCCCATTTCCCCGAAAAATAACCGCGGGACGGGAAGAAAATAGGTTTTTGGAACTGTTGGCGGTGACAGCGTTCTCCTTCGAAAACTTAATTACTCGAAGAAAGTTCCACCCTCCCGGAGAAATATTGGGAATCTTCGTCGTTTCGATCGTTCGACGGGCTGTCGACTTCCCGAACGAGTTCCGAACTTTCTGACTCCGGATTTATGTCTGATTTCATTTAGCCACGGCGCGTAATTCCATTATAATTCATTAGCATTCTTCGCTCGTAACGTTTCATCTTATTCCAATATCGAGGCCAAGCCGATTCGTCGATCATCGGTTTAATATATCCTGGACACATGAATCACGGATATAGAATTAATTACGATAGAAACGCAACGAGACGTTTCGTCGCCGGAATAAATGGGACAAGTTGAATTTCGAGGATTTAGCGTAACTTTCCAAAGTCCGCGACGCTCCTCTCCCGTTCGCAACGATTTTTCAATTGACAGCGACAACTCTGTTTTCCAGAAACTCGTCGGCGAACGTCGACAGGCAAGTTTCCGCGATAAACACGACCGACTTGGGGAACTTGGGGAACTCGGTTCGTTCCGGGATCATCAGCTGACCGATTCTATCTAGCTTAAGTGGCACCGGGCGTGTTCATACAGGCCGAGTAGACAGCATAAAAAAGCTTTCCTCGTTATTAGCAATTGGACGAGCCGATCGATAGGCCGGCCGATCTCGCGTCTCGATTCCTAAACGACCTCTTTCGGGTCGCGCGAAACGCCAGGCCGTTAGCCACGTGCCGATTGATAAAGAATCATTGTGCCCGGCCGTTTAAAGCGACCTTAATCGTGGAACGGTACGAACGCTTGAAATATCCCGTCCCTCGGAACGCGTTCTAATCGAGACTCGTTCCGTCGTGTCAATTTGAAGCGTTCCGATCGTTCAACTGGCACCATTATTCAAAGAAACCTCCCCCCCCTCCGCCGCGCGGAGGTCTAATTGAACGTATTTAGCGGGCAGGGGATTATCGGCTGATTCTTCAATGGCTCGCTATTCTCGCGACGATAACGGTAACGGCAGAAAGAGACCGTTCCACAAAGAACAGCGGATTTTTCATTCGTACCTCGGCGAGCACGCCGGTTCATTTGCATCGCCGGTGATTCGTCTTCCGTTGAATCTTCACGCACTTAGAATTCATCGAAGTTCCCGTAGAAAGACCGCTGAAATGTACAGTTCAATAGGGGTTCGGAACGCTTTCAGACGATTCCCTCTCGGGCGGAATGGCTGCCGCGCGAAATAGAATTCCGCGTAACTCGACCGTCTCGAAGCCAGCCCGCGGAAACGGGCATTTGCATAAATATCCGCGGCCTTAATCACGAACCCATTCGGTTCCCCGACGCGGTCAAACGGCGAGAGGCGCGAGCGTTAACGAATTTCCCGAGGAATCACGAGGCGGGTATTTTTTCATTTCGGAATACCTCGAGTCTTCGCGTTTGCCAGGGCATTTTCCCGGCGCTCCTCTTTTTTCCGCTCGTTTCGGAACCTTGACGAGTTTGAGATGCGTCCGCCTTAATTGAAGCATGATACGTTGCCCGCGTTTTGCATTTTTAATTCCGTTCCGAGGCGGAAAAGCGAAACGTTGTTGAGGCTACAAGCTCCGCCTGATTATACGCTTGCTCCCCGGAGCGCGTTCGTAATTATTTGCGGACATTCTGCGGCGGCGCGATGGAAATTTCAAACGAAAATCCTCGGCCGAGAGAAAAGAACGGCCGGTTGATACGCGGATACCGATTCGGCCGATGTATTCGGTCGATCGGCGTGTGCGCGAGCGCGCGCGGGAGTACCGAAGGCGTCGTCCGCCGGCACAGTATCGGTCGGTGCATTAGTTTATCGTGTAACAAGCGAAGTTATTATGAACGCTTAATAAGCGGGCTGACGCACGACTAATAAGCAGCCAATTATTTGGCTCGTCGGCTACATCGGACCAGAATCCTCGATCAATGTTCATCAGTTTCCTATTGTCCGCCGCGGCCACTGAAATTCGCCTAAGAAAATTGAAATGCGCGCGTCTCGTTAACCCTTTACCCGCCGTCGGTTATTCGACGACCTTTCGAACATTAGCGATCGACGGTTCACTATTTTTCAACGATACACCAGCAGTTTCTCGAGCGAACTTCGAAATTCATTTCGTGATGGTGCACTCACTGGATCGCTATTTTCTGACCGGTTAACTATAGTCTAGTTTTAGTACCGCGACCAACGCAGAGCAAATGCATCCGAGTGCATCGAAGGAATTACATGTATATTCGAAAAGATAATTGTTGCAGAAATTAATGCTGAGGTGAGTGGTATGCTCATAGAGCTGATTAAACGACAGTAATTACAATCGACCGACGGATCATCTCGAACGACACGAAGCAACCGTTTCTCCAGGCGCCGTCGTTTAAAGAGAAACTATCAAGTTCATCTCCGAAGCAATGCAGATACTGATAAGCTTATTAATAGGTCCGCCTCAGGTAAAGCGTGAATATTTCACGAGCAGCTCGCGAAAAAAGAGGTCGCGGGCTTCCCGGGGCGTTATTTTTCGGATTAAAAGCCGTATTTAATCCCGGATTCCTTGCAGCGAATCCAGGGCCATTCGAGTCGAATAAAATTATCCTGACAAAGTAAAACACCCGATAACGCGATTACGTCGGAATTTATTTAATCGTGGCCGGAGTCGAACGCTCTGTCCCCTTAACCTGCCGGCTAATCGGCCGCGATGACTCATTCTCATCTCCCGAATTTCGAAGTTAAGGATGCGAACGAATCAAGTAACCAGCCGCGTCGAAGCCGATAAATACGGTTTACCTTCTTGAAAAATTGATTCGGAGGAAATCACCTGACGTCGAGTTTTCGAAAAATCGCCGCGCGCTGCAGCGCGATTAAGCTCGTCGCTCGTATCGCGACAATAAAACCGATAGCGTCGTTTTGTCGTTCGAAGATCAACGATACGAACGCCAGAGCGTTTCGGGTAATTCGCGTATATATCTTCCCGATCACCGGCGGATCGGTAGAACTCGAGGGGCGACGATTGGTCACGGACGCGAACCAGTGGCGCAGAATTGCCAAGACCTTTACACGGTAATTAATCTTGAACGCCTTTAACGGCTGGATCGCGGCGTCGTCTTTGATTGACTTGTTGCCCGGATTAAACGATTTATCGTCGGCCGAACGAGTTCTGCGCTCGCAATTGGAAGTTAACCTTTCAATAGCGCTATCTGGAGCTGGTTATCTCGAACATTTTGAAATTTCGACCGATCGATTGCCGGCGGTCAATGATTTCTTTGTTCACACGATTGTATTGTGTTGTTACGTTAGAACCGCTAGACAAGTGAACTAGACTTATCTCAGAATTTTCGTAAATATTTAAGTGTACAGATATACAGAGACCTTCGAATATTGCGGAACGCGTTGTCACAATTTTTAGAAGTTAGAAATAAGTTGATTGATCTCTGATTGCTGGACAGGTGGAATGTTAAAGGACACGGCGTTTTCCAGAGATACCGACGTCGAAAACGAATATATCCTTGTCGCGTGGACTCCAATTAGCGACAAAGCCATAGAAAAAGTTTCCGCCACCCAGGAGTTAAGTAATCGCAGCTGGGTGTTCCGCGGCCACGCCGGAAGCCGGGGAATCATCTGTTCTTCCCTCGCCGAGAGTTTCCGTCCGATTCGATTACGAACCGTAGGAATTAACTGTCCTTATCGGGCTCGGTTGTGCATTACTTCCGGTGACCTCGTTGGCTTCCACGAACGCGAAGACATTTTTCCACCGGTTTTGCAACGATTCACGTAACGGCGCGACACACTCGCGCGGACCCACGTGACCACCATGTGGTTCGTGACAGTTTTTATCGCGAGTCTCGCAACATTCATTGGCATTCGCCCGGATCGCCGGCCGATGTTGCTCGGGAATATCTTCGCAGCGGGAAAATTGGCTCGAGAAACCTACCGGTGACTTCGAATTAGCCTCGCCGTACTCCGACAGTGTTCGCGGGCACTTCGAACTCGCGTACGGAGTGTTATTCAATGTTTACGGTTGATCTCGAGTACCTCGTTCAAGCAGATTACGATAAAGTCATCGAGGTAATCTTCGAAGTAGCACGAAGACACGAGCAGGCGACAAATCGCTTCTAAGAATATTCTTGTAAACCGACGTTCGTCGGAGCGCAGTCCGATTGCCGATAACGATGACCGACGCGCAACCGTTAATGAGTTACATTTTTCTTAACTCGCAATCGAATCAACTGTCGCGAGCAGATTACGTTTCGTCCGATTCTGTTCAACCCTGTAGCACAACTTGTCAACTTTCCGCAAGCATTCCGTCCGTTCCGTCTATCGTCGTAGGTAAAACTCGCCGGTGTCAACCTGGAATTCCAAAATTAGCGCGCGAAGCGTCGCTTATCTAGCCGTCGATTCGTTAAAACTGTTGAACCTACGTCTTCTAAGCGCGATAAGCGGCTGGCATTCGAGATAAACGGTGTCGTCCTCGCTTACCAGTTAAATTCGCCGAGCCTCCATCATCGGGCCGTGGCTCTCAATCCGGGCCCCGCGGACCTCCCCGACCGGAAGTCCCGGGTCGGACGCGCGAAATCGAAAATTTTCGCCGGCGCAGGAGTTGAAGAAACTCCTGTCTCTGACTGGAACTCGCCAAGTATTCCGCTTACGAAAGCTGTCGGCGGCGTTCGCCGTGTGCGCGCGTACGTGTGCAGCAGAAGAAACGTGTCGATGACTTTCGTATTCGCCGTCCCCGTTTCCCGATTCTCCAGCAGCCGACAAGCGTCGAAATCGATTTCGATTTGACGGCTAGTTTCACGGGAATCATATTGTGTCGGTGCTGGCGGGACGGCTCGTTTGCGAATCCCTGTCGATCTAAACAACTTTTTCCCCATTTTTCGCGGAGGAATTTCGTATTTCACGTCGGAGAGAAAGGGAACCTTCGTCCGCCGCGTATCGAACTTCGAGCATGTCTTGCGGAATTAATTGTGTATTGTTCCCGTTCGCGACCTTAACGATTTTTTCCTGTTTCGCGGAGGAATTCCGTTCCTTTCGCGGGAAAGTCGGGGAATCTTCGTTCGTTACACATTGAATTCGGAATGTATCTCGCGGTATGAATTGTATTCGACGGAGAATTTGAGAAATTCAACAGAGAATTTTCTTTGGTTATCGGATTCGAAGTATATCGGACGGAATCGGTTGTTTAAGGTTTCTTATCGATCTCGCGTTATCTCCGAGATTGTGACGTTTTAATTGTATAACGTGTAGTTACGAGACTATGCAGTAAGACTATGATCCGGCGGTATTTTATCTACGACTTTTCACGTCAGTGTCGTTCGAGTCCTAAGATCGATTCAAAGTCTACGTACATAATTACGGGCGTAAAGCCCGATGAAAAAGTTCTTATCGAAATTCCATTGGACGCTCGATTCGTCGTTATTTCATTCCCCCTCCTCATCGCGGTGCACGACAACGTAAAGAGAGAATCGTTCGGTACGTGTCAGATAAGAGATACCGCCGATCGATCATTACGTTCCATTTAATTGAACGACGAGCGCGTTTGAAGTGTTCCGCGCCGGCTGTAACGCGCCCCGCGCCCCGGAAACGGCGAGCCCGATTTTACATAATTTATAATAATTCGTGCCAATGGACCGAATAGTCATTCTTTCCGGATTATTATCGCGGCGCTCGATAATGCAAATTTTCTACTAATAACAGTGTAATCCGATTTACTCGTTAAATCGCGACGCGGAACGGTACACGCCCGTGTGTCCGCGCGCGCTCAATTTATATCTCAAACGTTTCATCCGAGTTTCATTAGATCACGATTTACGGACAAATTGTTCCGTGGTTTCGCTCACTCACCTGTCGAATTTCGTTCGGCCGCAAGAGATCGGGTGACAGTTAAAGCCTGCCGTAAGCGAATCCGATACAGAGATGTCCAATCCCTCGCTCTCTCTCCCTCTCTCTCTCTCTATCTATCTATCTATCTCAATCTTTCTCTCTCTTATACACGCGTACACACAAACGCGCGCAGTCTTCGTCGCTCTCTTTCCGTGCACGCTTTAAAAATCTCTTTCCTCCCGTTTCGAGCTACCTGCAAGAACGAGCTTTCCATTAAAACCCGCCGAGGCGACGCGACGCGACGCGACGCGACGCGAGGCGGCTCGTCTCTTCCGTCGCGCGGACAGAAACGATTCAACTTTCGCGCAATTTTTCTCGTGCACGGCCCCGGCAATTCCTCTGCGATTCCAACGGTCCGCCGTCCGTCGAACGCCTCCCGTTCATATCTATCAATAACCGAGCGGTATTTTAACCAATTCCGAACACGCCCGACGGGCTGAGCACCGGACTCTCAATTTTTCTAGTTTGATTTCCGAAATGAAGCCGTTCCTCTCTTCGACGCGGGTTAATTGCACGCGTTGCCGCGCGCCGAAAGAGTCCAGAGCAACAAGTCAATTTAAAGACCGAAGTGGCGAACTTTCGACGTATAACGCGTTCACCGTGTTCTTCGTGTTTCTCTTTGATACCGGTACCGGTAATAACTTGAAACTGTGCCCCTTAACCCTTTCAACTCGAAGGTTCACGAGAAATATTTCACATTCCCCGATGAGATAGAGAGCTGATTTTCGAATCTAGGTCGAATAGAAATCACGCGTGAATTAAGGAGCAATCGCTTGATCACTCTAGGAATCTAATTCTTAAGTTCCTACTCCGTTTCCTCGTTACATCCATACATTCCTCTCGATTTCTCTTACTATTCCTATTCCACCTCCCTCCAACGAATCTACTAGCATCTCATCTTCGAAGAACAAAAAACGCAGCTCGCCCCGAACTCCATCGAGCCGGGCGGAATGACGAGGAGTCACGCGATCATACCTGTCTGGAATAAACGCCCCTATGAACCGGTCATCCGCTGCAGCGCAATCTTCATCCAGGCGAGCACGCACTCTCGACTGCTGCCAGTTTATCCGGCGTATCCAGCTTGCCAGGCGAGGAACGCCTCCTTTTTCACGGCTCCGGCCTTGAACTTCCAGCGAGAGTGTCGCTCGTTCGTCCCCTGTATCTCTTCCGGCCTGGCCCGAACATCAGTTCCGCCGTGTCCCGTGTCGTCGGCGTCGACCGAGCTTCCCCTGGATCCGCGCCGGGCCGATTCTCGATGCCGTCGAGGCGGAGGCGGCCGCGATAACGTGGCGAGCGCGCCGCGTGCGCTCGATTTTCTCGCCTAGCGGCGACGCTAGGCCGACAGAAGGTCTCGGGCAAATTTAATCGCGAGTGAAAGGAGAACGTCGACGACGGCCGAACGTTTCGTCCCACCTTTTTTCCACACACCGACGATCGGCCGGAACGATAACGGGCGCGGCGTCGCTTTGGCGAACACGGCTCGCAAATGGCTAGCCCGAGCCTGTCGAACGTACATATAAATCGGTTGCACGATACTCTCCCCTCTCTACAAAAATCCCCACCCCCTTCTCGTTCCTTCACGGTTCTTGCAACGTTCGATACCGTGATCCGTCCGGTTGCAGGCCGTTCCTTCTTTTTTGCGAACGCCGCACGGCGAATCGATGGAAATCGCTTCGAAGCGTATCACGCGTTCTCCCGAAGAATGCTGCAGAGTGCCACGCGGCCGTTGTTTCGCTGCGCTTTGTTCCGCAGGCTTCTCAGTCAGGTTCCGCTGTTTTCGAGTACGACTCGGTTCTTCGATTCGATAGCGGTATGCATCGTGCCTCCGGTGTAGCTGCTCTGTTGTTCGATCGGCGGCGGTTTAATTACGCCGCGAATCGTTTGTGCTCGATTATTGTGTAATAAGGATATGATATTCATAACGGGGAATTCCGAGGTGTCGCCAGTAGTTTTTCAGCGATAGTGGAACCGTATCCAGGCGAAACGTCAGGGGTGTTTTCGTCGGTGCGATAAAAATGTTAACGGAAGGTTACCGGTTTCGACGGGGAAACCTGTAGGAAATAATCAGTTATTTTCGCCTCGGTGAGTCGTCGATTTATGGTTAATACTTTGATCGTGAATCCTGGTCTTAACCGGCCGCGGCATGTAGGAGGAAAGTCGCCGAAATGTTTACTGTACGTTTCGATGAGAATCGTTTGATCGATCGTAGACGGGAAATAATGTGTCGCGTAACGTTGCGACTACCGCGGATGATGCAAGATTCGTACAAGTTGTTCGACGGAATATCGAAAAACGCTTGGGAACGCATCCATTAAGCCGCCCCGTAAATAACGTCGTCCCCGACGTTAATTTTCGCCGCGAAATATTAATATTTGAAGGTTCAGAGTGATTTACGTCGCCCGTATCTCGCGACACGCGCGCGAACGACAGCGAACAGTTTCTATTCTCATTCGAACGAGTTTTTCTGGTTCGAAGCATTGACAGGAGACACGGAAAAATGACTTGCAACGCGGAGCACGGGTGTGTAATGATGGTTCGACGGGTAAATAATAATCGATGGTTAAGGATGGAAATAAGTGTATTAACATTTTCCAGCGGAAATTAGCTCCGGCAACCATTATTCGCAATTTCAGAGAAGAATGTTAGCGTTTAGCGGGCAATAATTGAATATAAACATTACACGTGCATAGTTCGTGTTGCGTGCGAACCTCCAGCGACGGGCTGTTTGAAAATTCGAGCCAAAATTCAATGAATACGGTACCGAATAGTCTGAATAGTCTGAGTAAGTGAAATTCATCGGCGTTCCAACGTTCGAACGGTTGCTATAATAATGTAGATTGTTCGACGCATTACAGCTTTACTAAATTATATTACATCAATCGCTGGAGCTTATTGATTTGTATCTGCCATCGAGCTATTTTCGTCTATGTAACACACACACACACGTGTATCGTACAATATATACACGCGAATACATATATATATATATATGTATATATTATAATATATAATACGTATAATTTGCGGCTAGGTCAGCGAGTCAAGAGACCAATGGCTTCTAATTGACGGTAAATTACAATCGGTGATATTTGGTAACACGCCGGTGTATATACACCGGTATATCGGGAAAATCGCCGATAATTGATTCCACCATGAGAGTTCGCGTTTCGTTCGACCGAAAGAGTTCCCATTCGTTTCGATGCCGCGCGGCCCGGTTAGGTTCGCAATTAGCGCAACAATTATACATCACGTTGGTATTAACACTTCGGATTTCAACGATTTCAAATGAAAATCGATTACCGTGCGATTAATATTGTCGAGCAAACATTTTTACCGAGTCGAGCAACCGCGTGCCACTGTCGAGTAAAAAGTACCGTAATGGATCATCAATAATCGTTATCAATTACATGTTATTCCTACACGAATCGAATAAATGGTATTTATACGGTACTCGTGACATTTACGCGACAATCATCGACTGTGACAAAATTCTGTTGCTAACAAAGAAAGGGCCAAATATGTTTTCGAATGGAATCCCATTCATGAGATAGTACATATCTAGAATTCATCTTCGAATTGTAATCTCTGAATGACTAGCATTTCATTACTACAATATTATTCATCATCTTTCTACGATACCACAAATCTGAAACTCATCCTTCATTCCGAGACACGTATTACAACAGGCATAGAGTTTAATTTGAAAAACAGATTTTTACGTCATATTCCGGAGCGATTATCTGATTGACCGCATCGCGTCCAACGCTCGAAATGACTCAGTAATTCTCGCAAAGCGAGTCATCTTACCCCAACTTAAGGAAACCGCCGTTATCGTTTCTCCTCGTTGCAGTGGAATGAAGATTCAGCCGTGACCAGCATTTATTTTCTCGTGTGTCACGGTCTTGCGAAACTATCTGTAATCTCGATCGAAATCGGGTCGCGGAAAAAATGGATCGCGCCCGTTCCCGGTAACCGATGACCCCATTCCGCGATAGCCGGAACGCGGATCGATCCGTGGGAACGGCGCTGGTCATTTTTTTCCGGCGATTTTACCCCGCGATATATGTATAATTCGAGAGCTCGCCCGCGCGCTGGCGCGCGCGCACGGGAATCCCCCGTTCCTCGGCGATCGCGGCCGCTGTTTGTTCACTGAAAGGCGATACGCGGAATCGTAATGTACATTGACACGCTGCCGGATCAAATGGTTTCGATTGAATTTAATTGGCCGGGTCGCACGTTCGTCGCGTCTGGGCTAACAGAGAGTCTCGACGAAACTGGCTCATATGCACGATTCCGATACCCATGGTCTGCCAGTTATTCTGGTCGCCCGAAAATTCCCTGAACACCTACGGACAGATCCTACGGGAATTGAGATATTAACGCCCGCGGATTTCGGGAATGGTGCCCCGTGGAACGAATCCGTTTTTCCGTTGACGTTATTGCCCTGTAACGGAGGAGATTAGGCGACCACTCTGGAATCTTGATTATCGACTGCTTCGCACTTATTCGATTGTCATCGAAATATTCGTTATCGTATCTTTCATCTTTTGTGTCGGAGATATAACACTCTGGGAATGTGTTGTAAATGGCGGTGATCTCTTTTTAACTGTTCGAGGTGATTTTAAAGATGACGATCCGAGCTGCACAGAATTCACCACACAATTCGCAATAGTTTCGACAACTTATTAACCCTTTGCACTCGAGAGGTGACCCCCAGTCGCCAGATGATTTGATACAGCAAAATTATAAACCTTATTTACCATTAACCTTTGTGTACTGCATCAATACGTGAAATATTGAAAGAAAATAAAATGTGAAATTGTATGACTATGAGTGACTCCAACTTTTGGTGGGTTAAAATGTCCCACCATGTATAGGAAGCTGAGCAAAGGGTGGGGCAGTTTGAGCCCAATTAACCCCAAAGAGTTAATGGGAGACTGAGAGAATACGGAAATATGATTTTTTCATGAGCGAAGATGACTTTGAGCTTTGGCGATCTGTAATAGAGGATATTAGAGGAATACGCTTCTGTGAAATCTTGATAATCAATTGCTCGCCTTCGTTCGAGTCTAATCGAGATTCTAGAGAGATTATAAATGTAGCGTTACGAATACGCGTTACAAATGCAAGTGGTTTCGCTTCAATCTGAGATTGATAAGATACAAAAACGCCAATTGTCCTTTAATTGAGAGCAATTTGGGCTTTGCTAGATGGTATCTGGATAGTCTTACTCCACGTTCCAGAAGTGTGCTACTCCAGATCTTAATTGGAGTCATCATCTTCCGCCCTAGTTCGTTCTCATCTCGAGCGGCGATACCATAGAACAATAAAGAAAGGTGTTCGAGATTAGTGGAATCGCGATTGCACCGTCCCGAGGATTCCCGCCTCGAACGTATCGAATCTCGACGGGGAAAGAGCGATTCCTTATCGAGAAGGAAACGAACGATTTATAAAAGTTTAATTAAGTCACGCGCTCGAGAGATTAACAAATATCTAGCGGGGATTTTTGTTTGTTTCATAAATATTTCAATCGCGATATCTTAATCTTTCTACCGGGATGCGATATGGATTTAGTATTATATTACGCGTTGAATCGATACAATTATCGATCTCCTATTAAAGACTCCCGTGAATTCCACGATTAATCTAAATCACCCCAGCAGTCTAACGAAATTGACTTCTTGAAATAAGGCTCCTAGTACTAAATTTAGGTGATCGCCAGCTCGATCTCGAACGATTCCATCGTCGAGAAACTTGCGTATCGAAACTAATCACGATACGATATACTTCATATCGCAAACGATACGAAGATAGGATCGCCGTCACGATTACTATATCTGGAGTATTCATCTGCGGCGCTTACGTTGACCCACGCAAAGCGGCTCTCCATTGTCACGTGGCATCGGTATCAGGCGAAAGATAAGTTGTTCGCGTCGGGTGAACAATAAGCCAAATTTCGGTTTCTACAAAACAATTACCCTATCGAAGCAACCATGCTCAATTCCTAATTCATCGTTCCATTAAACAGCCGTAAAATGTTGCGCAGTAATCGGACGAGAAAGTTCATAATTTCTCGATCTAAATGCTTAAATCATGTCACGGGCCTCTCCCTCTGGGCAATAATTACCGTTCCGCGATTGATTAAAAATTCCACGTGATTCGATATTGCATCGCGATCGACGTTTCAATAAACCATCGCCCGAATTGTGCGCCCGTTGTATTTACATTCGGTTATCGAGCAGCGGGGACGCGGAGCGGCGGTTACGTTAATAACAATATTGGCGCCAGAATAAAATAACACGGTGCAATAGTAACAACAACAGTAACGTTACATACCGAGGAGCACAACGGCGCAGGCTCGAGCCGAGGTTCCTGCGTGTCATCGAATGACGAAGCGACTCCGCGGAAACGGCCGCGACTTGCCGCCACGATCCGAT